TGCTAGATAATTGAAACACACACACACACACACACACACACACACACACACACACATATAGTTCAAAAGTTTAATATTTTTAATGTTTTTGAAGGATTTTATGCCCGACCAAGTTTTATAATATTGTAAAATATTATTACTATATAAAAATAACTGTTTGCTCTTTGAATATATTTTAAAACGTAATTTGTTCCCGTGATGACAAAGCTGAATTTTCAGTCTTTAGTGTGACACCATCTAGATAATTCATTTCTGTCACTTTTGATTAATTTAATGTTTCCTAGTTTAATAACACTTTAATTTCTTTAAAAAAAATCTTACTGACCTCAAACTTGAATTTAGCTATACTTGACATATGTTGTGTGTGTAGACACCGTCCCAGAGCGCAGTGCACTGATGGAGAGTGTGTATCCGCGGCTGTATCTACACTGTAAGCAGAGAGGATATGATTTCAGGATGATAGACCTGCGTTCAGGAGTCGGAGATCCTGTTTCGGACAATCATGATTTGGCAGAGATGCACATGGAGACACTTAAACGTTGTCAGGAGACTGAGGGGCCAACTTTTATTGTAGGTTTAGTTGCACACAGATCATTTACCTTCCAAGAGAGTCTCATGGGGAGAAAATTGTAGTATTTTTATCAATATTTAAGCCATAGACTTTTTCCCTTTCTTGTAGGTGTTCACTGGACAGAAGCATGAGATACGGTCACTGCCGAATACGATTCCTCTAGCAGATTTTGAAGCTATTTTAAAATTTGTGGAGAGAAGCAAGAAGAAGCTGTCTAGGAGGCAGTCAGACATGGCAGACGAGTCACAGCTCAGTATAGACACCGGTGACAGTGGGAGTTTTACTCCGGAGAAGGAACCCCGTTTGTCAGAGAAGGAGCCTTCGCAAAGTTCTGCCGTCATGAGCGAGAACTCCATCTCCAGCAGTTCCACGTCAGATGGAGACGAGATACAGCTAGCCAGGAGCTGGATGGACTACGACCAGGATTTGACTCTCTTGCAGACATGGTATAAGCTGGATAAAAACACAATTCCTGCTGTGTACCGTTTACTTTCAGTCAGGTGAGTGCATGCTTTAGTGACGTAAATCTGCGTATCACATAATAAGCAACATTTTTTACTCTGGCAACTGTATGTTTTCCTCTGAGAATACACCTTAGTCAGGGAAGTGCCATATTTAATTTTTCACAGGAATGGAATCGAGGCTGTGAGGGATAGAAGTACGGTGTGTTCAATGCATTGTACTGTTGTTTAACAACACACCGGTTGTTCAGCTGAGGAAAAGTCTTCCTGAAAAAAAAAAACTTTCAGTAGACAAAAGTCCATAAAATAGTTTGAAATTTGTGAGTGGCGAAAATGACATGATCTAGGACCTTTATACGGTGCTTGCCATTGTAAAGAACATAAGTCTGTCCCTCACAGCCTCATTTTCTTCCGCATTGAATTCAATATTGCGTCTAACCTGACTAAGGTCTATTTCTTGTGAGTAAAATAGTAAAACATATCTTTTCATCAGTTCCATTTCCATTTATAGAATATGAACAGCACGAGTATATATCAGTATAACAACACTGAGTATATATCAATATCTATGAACCAGCAACTACTTGTTAAACGAGTTGAAAACAATGGAGTAATTGCTGCTATTGTTACTGAGCTTTTCATATTCAACTCTCTTGTTTGGTTCCCATGGCAGAGATGGCAGACACAATATAACTTGAATGGTTGCAGCTGTTATGCTTAAGAGTTGTTAGAATTAGAGGTCTTAAACCAACATAGTTCTAGTAGCTGGAACACATTCCTCTGGTTTCATAAAGGAATATTTCACCCAAATAATACAATTCTTTCATCATTTAATCACTCTTGTGTCATTCCTGTATGGCTGTCTTTCTTTCGTGGAACATAAAAGATCTTTTGAAAAATGTCTTTTTTTTTTGCATCCATAAAGAAAGTGATAATCAGCCAGTATTTGGGCTTTTTAAAAGTATTTTGTATTGGTTTGACAACTGTGTCCACTTGGCCAATTAAAATAAGTGTTGGTCCTTTCTGATTTATCCCTTTAATTGAATTCAAATGCTTTTGATTTTCATTCAGATGCTTTTTTGTTCATTTCATATTAGCACACATCACCCTGACTACCTCAGTCGGGATGGGCATCGCAGGAAGCTGGGAAGGAAGGTGTGGCGCTCTTCCTGTGTGAAACTGTGGAACGTGCTGTGGCGATCTGGACCTGAGGCCATTGGAGAAGAAGCCACCTGCCATCTGCTTAAAACAGGCATGAGTTTTGCTGTCATAAGGAAGTTTTGTGTCAATCACAGATGTAGAATACATGTGCACTTGACTTACTTGGAAGCCTAGTTGAATCACAAAGCCAAATGTTGCGCATGTTTCAGTGTTGGACTGGGAAGTGGAACAGGGTCTTGGAGGAAAGCAGCCTCCGGAGGAGTACAGTCACTGCTATAAGAGGATCATCACTGACCTTCTGTACAATCTGAAAAATGAATACGCACCACAGTTTATAGACCTGCACAAAGGAAGATCTGAAATCAATCAAACCTTGCATCAAGCTCAGCAGTGCTTCATACGCAACATTCACCTCAAGGTCGGTATCTCTCTATCTAGATATCTCTAGCTAGCCACGGTACTGTTCAAATATCGGGGGCCAATAAGATTTGTTAAAATAAATTAATACATCTATTAATCAAAGATGAATTAAATTGATCAAAAGTGACAGTAAATACATTTATAATGTTAGAAAGATTTCTATTTCAAATACAGTAAATGCTGTTTTTGAACTTCCTATTCATCAAAGAATAATTATCAGTTTCTACAAAAATATTAAGCAGAAATTTGTTTTCAACATTGATAATAATAAATGTGTCTTGAGCACCAAATCAGCATATTAGAGTGAAAATTCAGCTTTGCATCACAGGAATAAGTTACATTATCCTCTCAGAGATATATTTAAAAAATATCATGATTGTACTGCATAGTCCTTCTGCCTTATGGAAATCGAAATGTGTATTGAGTGTTGTTAAAACGATTCATTAAATCTTGCATTTGAATTATTTTCAAGCTGAGACACACTAATATCCACGAGACAAACGTCAGCTGGGGAAGGAAGGGTCTGAGTGCCAAACACAACAGATCTCATCAGTTTTATGTGGAACGGCTCTGCTCACACTTCCAGCGCACTGTCACTGCATCCCTCAACAAGTAAGATGACACATTCGTCCTTCTGTTCTTCATCTCACTTTATCACTGTCTGTCAAGTTCTTCTCAAAGTGTTGCTTCAGACTTATGCAGGTCCGTCAGGCTAAAGGCTCCTTCGACATGCAGAGGAAGGAGGTTTCCAGACTCCGAGTTGAAGAAGAGATTCGCCGTCATGTCAGATTTGGGAAAACACTGTGAGTCACAGATTCTACCATGGTTCAGTTTTATTTGACTAGTTTGAATTGAACATAAATGTTCTTTCTTTTTCCTTGTTAGAGCACAGGGCTATGCATTCAGGCAGGACTTTCTGATGGAAATGAAGCGTGCACTTGAAGCATCGGTGTCTTCCCAGAATGCTGTGCTGTTACTGGGGGAGCCGGGGTCTGGAAAGAGCACGACACTTGCCAAACTGGCACAACTCATACCTAGCTGGATACCTGGGTAGGCTAACAAAGGAAACATGAATTTAAAACATTTAAAGAAGAATTTTTAAGAAATATCTTGCATTTATTTGATCAAAAATACAAAAAATGGTCATTTAAAATAACTTTTCCATTTTAATATATTTTAAAATGTAATTTATTCCTGTGATGGCATTACTCTAGTCCTCAGTGTCACATGATCCTTCAGAAATCATTTTAATATGCTGATTTGGTGTTTAATCTGTAATTCTGTTTAATTCTTAGGGATGCCAAAGTGCTGATCTGCTTTGTAGGTCTGACATCCGCCAGCAGAAACGCACGTCTGCTCCTCCAGACCCTGTGTCTGCAGTTAGCCAACATCTATAACCTCAAAACAGAGATATCTGAGGTGCATAAACACTTTAAAGATCAATCAAATATTCATAAGGTCTTTTACACCGTATTGGATACACGATATTGTGAGATTGCTTGACTGTCTCACAGATAGTGTTGCACTATGAAATACAGTCTATTTTTTTTCCTCACAGTCACTGTCAGAGTTGTCTAGTGAGCTGTGCTCATTATTGGGCCTGGTGACAGAAGACCGGCCCTTGACCCTGGTGCTGGATGGTCTGGATAATCTGAGTGAGGAACATGAGGCTGACCTTTCCTGGCTTAGTAATGCTTTACTGCCAAACGTCGTCACTGTCCTGTCTACCGGCACGCAGTCTAAATGTGCTCATATTCTACAGGTAAGCAGATGGGTCATAGAGAATTTACACTACCATTCAAAAGTTTGGGGTTGTTTGAAAGTCTCTTATGCTCACTAAGGCTCACTAAAAAATACAGTAAAATTGCGAAATATTTTATTCAGTTTATAAGAATTGTTACTCTTATACAATAAAATATACTCTTTCATTATATTTTAAAATGTAACAATTTAATTCATTTATTCCTGTGATGGCAAAGCTGAATTTTTAGCATCATTACTCCAGTCTTCAGTGTCACATGATCCTTCAGACATCATTCTGATTGGCTGATTTGGTGCTCAGAAACATTTGTTGTTTTTAATCAGTTAAAAGCAGTTTTGCTGTGTAATATTTTTGTGAAAACTGTGATACATGTTTTTTTATGATTCTTTGATGAATAGAAAGTGAAAAAGAACAGCATTATTTTTTTAAACACTGTTTTGTTTATATACACTTTGTAATAGTGTCTTTTGTAACAGAAAAATTTTGTAACATAATTAATGCCTTTGCTGTCACTTCGTATGAATTTAATGGGTCCTTGATGAATAAAACTTTTAAATTCTTTCAAAAAAAAAAAAAACCAAACTTTTGATCGGTAATATAGTTCTGAATAAGGCCCAGTCTGGTGCACTATAAATGTTAAATATTTTATATATTTATTATATATTTTTATTATATATATTTATATTATATATTTTTATATTTTATGTTATTTTATTTTATTAAATTTAAATGTTATTTTATATTTTAAAACTCAACTGTACTCTTTGGCATTTAACACCATATGAGAGCAGGTTTTTATGATTGGTTTTGGTCTTATGTTTTTGTGTGTCTATTGTGTTAAATTGAGTATGCTTGTACAGCACTTTGATAAACACTCGTTTTTAAAAGCGCTTTATAAATAAACTTGACTTTGACTTATTTTATATGTTATTTTATTTAAAATTAATAATATAAAAAATATAGTGCAAATAATGATCAGAGCAATGATTGTTTTTTGAGGGCAGTCAGTTTCTTGCCTTTCTTTTTTTTCAGTCCCAAGTTAAGGTCACTGTCCTGTCCCTACCGGCCCTTAACCGTAAGGATATCACTTCAGGACTGGTGTCAAGACTAGCATCAGATTTTCGCCAGCTGACTGAAAACCAGTGGAGCCTTTTATTCCAGTCCTGTCTTTCCTGTCCATCCCCTCTCTACCTCAATTTAGCCTATGCTGAGACCAGGAAATGGAGCTCCTTTACACCAAAAGAGAGTCTCAACCTCCCTACGGATCCGAATAAACTTTTCGTGAGCATCCTTGTTAGTTTGGAGCGAGAGCATGGGCCATGTTTGGTGCGACGCACTGCTTTACTCATATCACTGTCCTGTTCTGGTGTGACCGAGGAGGAGCTTTTGGTGCTTTTGGGGCGTGATGATCATATCACACGTGAGATGGCGGTTTTGCATCATCAGACGATTCCCGTTTCTGAATACTCTCCAGTGCCTTATGCGTTTGTGGCACGACTGCTGCATGGTCTGAAGGGTTACGTCACAGAAGTGGAAAGTGACGGCACGTGGGTTCTGCGCTGGACTCATACAGAGTTCGCCTGCGTCGTCCTGCAGCGATACGCACCAACAGCAGACTCAATAAAAGCTGTGCATGCAGACTTTGCAGATTACTTTAACGGGAATGTCCCAAATAGCCAAGTTTTTCAGCCACTAGCCTGGATCAGGAAGGAGAAGGGAAGGAGGTGCTATGAATTTAATTTGCGCAAGCTCCACTGTTTGCCGTATCATTACATCCACTCCGAGCAGATTATTCCTTTACTCATGCAGTGTCTGTTTAACTATGAGTTCCTGCTGCATAAACTGTGGGGTCTGTCTATCTATCATGTCGAGGAGGACCTTAAAACTGCCGTCATACCAGAGAAGTACGATTATGAGCTCAGCAAACAAGTTTGTTTTGCATGAATAGCTGTTTGATATTATGGGTCTAAAAATTTGAAATAACATGCCATATATACATATAAATATTTTAATTTCTATTATATATATATATATTTTGTTCATACATATATAATAGAAATTTTAAACTGTTTACATTTACATATATATATATATATATATACCATTGTATAATAAAAATATTTTAATTTCTATCATAAATAAATGTAAAAATATTTTTTTGATATTATGGGGATTATAGGGATAGTTCACCTAAAGATTCTGTCATTATTTACTCACCCTCATGTCGTTTCAAACCTATATGACTTTATTTCTTATGAGAAGTATAAAAGAAGATTATTTGAGAAATATGTGTGTGTGTGTGTATATATATATATATATATATATATATATATACACACACTCACACACACACACACACACAATGGAAGTCAATGATAACCAGTTTGGTTACCAGCATTCTTCAAAATATTTTTTACTATGACATGAGGGTGAGTAAATGATGACAGAATTTTCATTTCTGGGTGAACTATCCCTTTAACATTAGTTCAAAAAGTGTCTAAATGTATTTTTATGAAGTGTCAGAAAATGCTGAGACAGAGTATCCTGTGTGTATGTGCTTTTATTGTTTGTGTGTGTGTGTGTGTGTGTGTGTGTGTGTTACATCGAGCTTCTGGATGTGAAGGTGTTGGGTCAGGTTTTGTGTCTTTCTCATTCTGTACTATTAAATGATCCATGCCAGCTGGCCTCTCAACTCTTGGGCCGTTTGGAGCGGATCATTTTCCAAGACAAGCCTGTTACTTCAGGTACACACACAAACATAAGCACCAGCACACACACACACACACACACACACACACACACACACACACACACACACACACACACACACACACATATATATATATATATATATATGTCAAACATGAAGTCATATGTTTATCTACGTGTTGTTTCAGGTGACCCAAGACGATACTCTTTTCTGCATGATCTGTTGGCACAGTGCAAGAGATCTTCTCTACCAGTTCTCGTGCCCTCCTACACCTGCCTGCTTCCTCCAGGTGGACTCGTACACACACTCCTATCAGGTACACGTATTCAATTTCTGGACATCCATTGGAGGGCTCCGTTTCCCAGCATCACCATTCAGTCAGTGATTTTGGCTTAATTTGTGTCCAAGTTCTGATTCTTAGATTAGTAAATTATGTATTTTAAGTGCCACGTTAAGTCATACATGACACATTATTCTCAGTAGCACTGGTCAGACTGGGTTTCTTTGGGAATTTCCTAGGGAGTTTTAGAAAGATGGTTTCAGATTTATGAGTAAATTAAAGTCTGTGGTCAACATTACGTGAAGACACATAAAATACACACAGTCATAACTCGTGAGTGAATTTTGAATTTATTGTATGCTTTAAAAATGTAAGTTGATAAGTTACCAGATACATACTACAGCGGTTGTCCGATGAATTATAGGTCAGTTGACAAGCACATAAACTCACATCCTGGTACTTTACGCAAAAAGTGGGTAATAGTTCGGCTTTTAGATAACAAAATAAACTCTACACCAGTGTTGTTATTGTTAACTAAAACTATTCAAATAGTTCAATTCAGTACTTGAAATAAAGCTGAAATAAAATGTAATATATATTTTAGAAGATTAAAAAAATTTAAATGTAGCCTTGGCAACTAATCGAATAAAATATTTAAGTACTAAAATTATTACATCTAAAACTGAAATAAAAATAAAATAAAGCTAAATAGAAATGAAAACAAGACATAACAAAAATACTAAAACAAACTAAAATTAAGATAAAAACTACAAATATGAAAATAAAAGCTATATAATACCAATAGTTACTATGATAGTATATAAATAATGCTAACTTATTTTACTTATTTAACTTATTTTATTTTTATTTCGTAATATATTTCTTGCCATTCTCAAATGCATGGATTGCTAATATGGATTTTATTCATAGTGCCAAAATTACTGTAAACTTTCTGCAAGCAGAAGAAGGAAGTGAGTTTATGCGGTTTGGCGAATGATCTGTCACGTGGAATTAAACACACAGCTGTCTTGTTAGCATTGGTTTCAAAATTCACGTTTGAGGATTGATGGTGTGGAATTTACTGTATGCTGCAGAACAAGAAGTCTGTTTAAGTGTTTTTTTAACCACACCTTATTTTACTAAAAACTGAAAGCAGTCTTTCTAAAAAAAAAAACCCATAGAAAACTCCAAAGGGAACCCATGGTGAACTAGCCTTTTGTTTTGGCCTACAGACTGACCTCACGAGTGAACAGCTCTATAACTCTAATATTCGGTTTATGACCGAAGCATAGAACTCTAAAATAAGATTCTTTATCACATAGTGGCCAAATGATCTGTCCTTAACATCCTGACTCATATTTAACTATAGGTCATATGAGTGCTGTGACAGCTCTGGCTCATGGTCGGCATTACATCATTTCCTGCTCCTGTGATGGAATGCTAAATCTGTGGCGTCTGGATGAGCAAACGAGACCCGTGAGGTCCTTACCGAGAACTCATGGATCTGCAGTAGACTGGGCCGCTGACTCTCTCACCCTCTGTCTGGATGACAGTGTGCTTGTGCTACAGATGGGCCACTGCCTCCAGGTGAGAGAGGTGGATTCTGGGAAGGTGCTGTACATGGAGAAAGATTCTCTGGATGTTCCTGTGGTCACAACTGCCTGCGATGGACGGTTGCTGGTGGTTTTTTATGACGGAAGTCACCTGATTAAGGTGAAGCCTCAGGCAGACCATTCTTCCTATATGTACTGTACACGGCAAAAAAATCCTGTTAAATTCACAGTAAAAAGGCATATTTTTGAATAAATTGTATATATAAATATATTATCTACTTGAACTAGTAGTTACCAAAATCAGCTTTTTGTCTTAGAATTTACTGAATTTACTGATAACCTTTTTAATAATACAGGTGGTACAATAGAAAGCCACATGATGAATCAGAGTAAGTAACTAATACTAATGCTGTCAAACGACTAATCGTGATTAATCACATCCAGAATAAAGGTTTTTGTTTACACAATATAAGTGTGTATACTGTGTATATTTATTATGCATATATAAATACAAACACATGCATGTATATATATATTTAAGAAAAATATGTTATATTTATATATTAAATATATTTATGTATAATATAA